ATATCTCGAAAAAGGAATTTTTCTGTGCTTTTTTCCTTTCCTTGTTGTATAAAATAAAAGTCGGTGGCGACTCTTGCTTACCGCGACATTTTGCGAACACAAACGCAAAACGCAAACCAGCATTCCAAAAACAGTTCTGGTTCTGGCCACCGTACCACAGTTGTTATCTTCATTTTTTGTTTGATGGCCAAATCGAGATTTTGTACGGATGATTACGTGGCACTTTATGGTTATGTCGGGCTTACATTTTCAAGTTAAGGCCCAACACATCCAAGGCCTAATTTGCTCATACCATATAATCTTAAATATAATTTTTGTTAGAGGGAGGCTCTCATATTTCACAAATCCTCACAAATACTCTAACATTTTCTCTCAAGTTGTTAAAAGATCAAATCAAGGTTCTACACTTTTTTTATCAAGAACACAACAACAACTTCATCAAGATCCAAAAGTCAAGATCAAGATCAATTCTTCTCTAATTGTTGATCCATTTATTGAGATCTCTATATCTAATCCTCCTCTTCACTTCTATCGGTGAGTTTTCTTGAATTAAGCACTTTTAAAATAAGTAATTATTTGAGAAGAACTTTTTAATCAAGCATGAAATGAATCTAGGTTGAATTTTGAATTAAGAATTCAGATCTAATATTAGAATTGTGGTTTAATTTGATCATCATGTGTAAATCCGAAATTGGATAGTTGAATTAAGTTCTTATTGAATTAAGTTGATTATCATGAAAATGCTTAATTGATGAAACAAATTGATGATGTTGAATGAAATTTAATTGTTGATCTTAATCAATCATGTGTAGTTTGAATCTAGACCTTAAATTATGCAAAATCATGTATTGAATCTGTGGATATTTTGTGTTTGATCAATTTCCTAAGCCATGAAAGTGCTTAAAAATCTGTTAAAACTGCCTCTGACATGAGGGTAATCGGTTACCCAGTTATGGTAGACGGTTACCACCCTTTCCAGTAAATAAAATTTGAAAATCTGCACGCGGTAACCGACTACCCAGTTATGGTAACCGATTACCCCAAAGCTAGTAACATTTTCCTTCTGTTTTGGCTTAAGGTAACCGATTACCTAGTTATGGTAACTGGTTACCCCAAAGTCAGTAGCAAATTACCAAAATTTCAAAATTTGGTAACCAATTACCTGAATAGAAACTGCATTTTTTGCTTTGTTTTATTGTATGTCTGCACACATTGCCTTGTTAATTCTAACTGCTTTTGTGAATTCTTCGCAAGGTGCGTTGTTAGACCTTCAACTTTAATTAGCACATGATTATTAGTTGAAAGGCGCTTTATTCAATCATTTGTTAGTTGGAGTTTGCGTATGATGTGCATGACGATTTTGTTCTTGTATAAATCATATTTTTGTGCAGGTATCCTGGCATCACACGGGTGTGTCCTCTACATATTCCACCGTGTGATTATTATTTCATATATTGTATGGATTGTGTTTGTGCAGGTACCCTGGCATCACATGGGTGTGTCTGCGATGCATCCCACCATGTGATTGTTATTTGCGTATACTGTATGAATTGTGTTTCGTGCAAGTGTATTTTTGATATTCGGATGTGTCCGTTACGCATTTCGATCTTGATTTGTCGATGCTTTGACGCCCATGCTGATAGTATTTTCTTTGTTGATGATATTAGTTAGAGAAGTTTTCCAGGTTTCTTTGTTATTGCTTAGCATCTACGGATTATTATCCGTTTGGTACATTTCCCTTCTATTTTCTTTCCGCATCTTATTGCTTTCTAGAGATCATGTCAAGTAGGAATTTTACTGCTTTCCTTGTCATGATAAGTAGGAATAGAGATGTATGACGGGGATCTCCATTGTTAATCATGTCAAGAATCCCCCTGGTTTATTTAAAAGATCCGTTAAGGGCAATTCCGCATTATGTGCATTATGTGAGCTACTTATGCTTGTTTAAAACCCTACCTTAGAAGTAGGTATTCTGCAGGTGTGTTTACATTTTGTGCTTGCATATACTATAGATGACAAGTCCTTAAAAGGGAGGCGAACAGAAAGGGTTCGTAATCAACCCCCGTGCATTCTAGTCTGTGTCATCCTTAGCTCATGTTGTACGTCAATGCTTTGGATTTATGCAGATCTTGTGTATCGAGTCAGTCATGTGGAAAAGGGTTTTGTCCCAACCCTCACACTTTGTCAGGAGTTCGCAATGGCCAATGCTAACACTCCGTTACCCGCTTGTTTGCTTCGGGTGATTCGCTCCCCTTAGCTAAAGCAGTTCTCTTCTTTTCTTATTTCATCTCTGCTACCCGCTTGTTTTCTTCGGGTGATCCGCCCCCTTAGCTAAAACATTTCTATTCTTTTACTTTTAGAAATCCTTCTTATTTTCTTCAGGTGATCTCCTCCCTTTAGCTAAAGAATTTCTCTTGATTTTTCCTTTATCTACCTCGATTCACGATATCTTGGTTAGGCCATTTTGCTTGAGCTAGTGTGCACTACTCTCGCCATGTATGTGCTCCCTTTGTTAGAGCTTGCTACTTTGAGACACATTGCTCTCGCCATATATGCGCTCTCCTTTGCTTGCTTGGGATACACTACTCTTTCCATGTACGTGTTTCCTTTTCTTACTTTTTTTGTACATACCATGCTCCCTTAGAATGTGTTTATTTCTTTTCCAATTCGAGCTAGACCTTAGGATAGTAATCCATGCATGCTAACATAGATGTACATTTCCCTTTTATCCTTGACATAAGACCATCATTGTATGATAACATTAGGGATTAGATTCTAGATAGTCTCCCTTAGACGTTTTCTTTCTTTTTGCGTCCTTGCATTTAAAATTAAAACTTTCTTTTTCCTTAAACTAATAAAAATACTCTCTAACAACTTAAACCCTTTCTTAAGGTAAAAAACACTAACCAACTCCTTTCTTTTTGCCAATCAGCTTTTTCTCTTCTAAGAGCATGTTAGTTCTTTTCCATTACAGGTCGTAAGCCTCCAAAGATCGAACAACAGTGGAATGATTGAATTTAACATTGTTCAACTAAAAAACACAAACCCACTAAAACAAGTGAGCCGAACTACGGTTGCACTGATTCCTTAAAAGGGATACGTAGGCGGAGGCTTTTTATGGGGCCTAATCGAGCATATCTTTGTAAAAATCTCTTTCTTTTCCTTTTCGTTTGCATGCATTCCCTCTTTCTTTTACTTTAAACCTTAGGCATAGACTTTGATCACACCCATTATATTAGAATAACAAGAGTGGATACCGTAGAGTACTACAGGCGTGTTGAGTGCTAATACCTTCCCCCTCATGTAACAGACTCCCTTACCCAATCTCTCGGTCGTTTGACCGTGATTACTCTCTTCTCAGGTTTACTCGATGTCATCCTTTCCCTTCCTGTGGGATAAAAAATGTTCGATGGAGACTTCATTAATTTCATTATCAGTTGACGGTTCAGCCGGTTGTTTCAACATGGTTTGACAAAATCATTAAACAGAAATATATAACAAAATGTAATAGAAGGAAAAATTCAAAATTCACACTTCTCTATCCCAAATATGTCTAGCAACATGGTCCGGGTACAAAAGCATCAGAGGTAAATCAGACGATCCTCCTCCAAAACCCTGAGACACCGCAAGTGCCGCCTAAGGTATCAGCTCAGGTGCCTGAGATGTATGGGGTGCCACCTCAAGTGTCGTTTGTGACTAAGGCTGGGATGCAGGTTGTGGCTAGGCCTCAGGTGTCGACTGTGTGACCTCTGGTGTCAGCTGGAAATTTGATGTCTCTCCCGCCTCAAATACCATCTGTGAGGAAGTAATTTTATGGGAGGACAAAGGCGGGGAGGTATGAACTGGAGAATCCTGCCTGCTGTGGGAGAACGATGAAGTCGGAGTAGAAACAGGAACACTGAAGGCTAAGGTTGTAGTAGGCACATCCAACACAACCTGTCTAGAGGTAGAAGGAGCCTAGGATGCCTGACTTCTTTCCCTCCGCACAAACATATTGTGCAAGCTTGACGTGTCTTAACCTAGATGGTCTCTAGGCCATGAATCATGTAGAAGTACAAAACAAACGTTAACATAAGGACTAATGTTCAAAATGAAGAAAAAATAGAAATAGACTATCGAAAATGCATTACCATATTCCTTCAATGTTAAAATGAAAATCGAAAATATATTTTCGGCATGACTTGAAATTTCAGAGCTCCGTCAATGGCTAAGCAGAGCCACAAATAACCTCCAAAAAAATAGTTATTGATCATAAAAATGAGACTTTCAACACTTTTCTAATGACTCTTAATATTGAAAACACACAAAAAATTCACAATTTCTAACCTAAATCAGAAACTTGAGTAGAAATTACTTAAACTCTAAAAATATCAAAAACAACTTACAATTGATGATGTCTCTTAGTTGAATGTGGTTGAACAATTAAGTTAACTGATGCTTTACGATTCCTGATGAGTTTTTTTGCGAAGTGATTTTGTAACAATAGGGTTTGAGAAGAAATGAGTGTTTTGTGTGTTTTTCTTTTTGGGGTTTGAAAATGCTATTGTAAAGGAAATGGAAAATGCAGCGCGTCTTTAAGTCAGAACGTAAACCGAAAATATATTTCTGATTACCATCGTAAATTCGATGTTGGTTCATATCTTGACTGAAATTTAGATTTTAAGACCAAGTCATTGTGTGTGTTTAGCGTGCAACTGAAAATATATTTACGGTTGCCACTAAAGATGTATTTTCGATTTGTATCTAACCTTTATATATCATATATGTCTAGGCGAAATACGTACCAGAAATAAAATTTCAATTTAAAAAAATATTTTTAAAATTTCGCATGATGCGTTAGAAAATTATGGGATGAAAAAAGAAATCCTATATATATTAACCCAACCCAAATTCGACACAAGACTCGAAAAGCCCAAAAGAAAATCAGAAGAAAAAAAGAAAAAAGAAAAACCGTTATCTGATGACACAAATAAAAAGTTCGAAGCAGCTGAAGAAGAAAAATGGCGGCGCCAAATTCAGAGTTTGATTCCAAGGTCACTACAATAAACCAACAACAATCTTCTTCTTCTTCTTCCTTAATATCTTCCATATTAATCAACAGTTTCAAATTTTCATTATCACAGGAAAATCCCCAAAAACCGAATTTCGAAACATTCCAGTTATTTTCCTCCTCTTCAGGTTCCGGTTTCGGTTTCGACGATGTTTCACAAAAAGTTAACGTTATACCTCCTCCTCCCTGTGTTGAAGTTCTCGCCTCTGATTCCAAGGTTTGTTCTTTCACTGTTCATGAATATCTGAATTGAAACGATGTCGTTTTTTTGAAACTTTGTTGTTTTCGTTTTTTTTTTTTTTGAAATTAGGTTCCTTTATTCGGAAAACCTAAATTTGAGTCGGTGGATTTTGATGGGGTTACATTGTTTAAGGTAAAGTTTGTTTTTTTATTACTGTACCTTGAATTTTTGGTTATTATTGGGACTTAGTTTTATCATGTTCTTGTAGGGGAGAGTGAATACTCAACAAGTGTTTGGTTTGTCGAATTCTGATTTGGTTCCGGGGAAATATGAAGGTGATAATAGTGTTTTTCTCCTTGCATTTCTATCTATGTAGTACTCGCATTGAACATAACACAAACATAGACATCAGACAAAACACTACACTGACAATGATATGTAGAGTAGACATTGGTTTAATGTAAGGACATGTGTTGGTATTGCGGGCATGCGCTTAATATGAACGGTAGTATCTATATCTATTTGTTTGTTTATATATTTATTTTTCATATTTTTGATGACTTATGAAACACTGACATAGACACGGATACTAGACACATAGACATGCTTTTAGTTTAAAGTGTTGATGCTACATTGATGATGAGTACTAAATCAGTTGCGAATTTGGTTAACTATGGTTTAGGAGGACTGAAGCTGTGGGAAGGTTCACTTGATCTGATTAAAGCCCTTCGTTCTGAAATTAAAAGTGAGCTTATTTCATTTGGTGGGAAGCGAGTATTAGAGGTGGGCATCACTTTCTTCAGGTGATTCTATTGTGTTTATTATCTGTTCGATAGAGGGCCGTGTATTACTTGCTTAGTAGACAAACACGCACACTCGCCTATATGAGCTTTTGTCGTTTTGATATAGGAATTGATAAAGGAGATATACTCAAAGCTAGGGTTTATTTTGATCATTTTGAATTGATTTATTTAAACTTGTTTACTGACTTCTCTTAGAATTTGAGTTGGGTCTAACTCAACCTTATCAAACCAAAGTGTAAGAGGAGGAGTGTCATTCTTTATAAATTCTGGTCACTTCTAATCATTAATTTATGTGGGATTTGATTTTTTCAAAATACTCCCGCACGAGCGTCACTGAAATTAGGCTTGGTGTGGATTAAAATGATGGATGACCAGGATTGATAGGTTATGATACTATTTAAGAATTTGAGTTGGGCCTAACTCAATCTTACCAAACCGACTTGTCTGGTGAGTGCTATCATTCTTTTTTCAGTTCTGGTCATGCTCTTATTGTTTACATGGCAACAACTATACTACTCAATTTTATGATATGTTATAGAAATAGCTTATATATAAGCACTTGAAAGTTAAGCGCTTAAATTTTAAGTGCTTAACTACAATGTTTATCCAAACATGGTTGCTAGTATTTCCGCTTAATCACAGTATCATTCAATTTCAAATATTTGATTCAGATTGGATGCGGTCATGGACTGCCTGGAATCTATTCTCTACTTGAGGTAAAACTATGGTTCATTGGCTTTGCTTTAGTATCATCAGTTAATTTTGAAAAATGTAATGTGTTTATCATGGTTGATTCAGGGTGCGGCTGTTGTACACTTCCAAGATTTCAATGCAGAAGTTCTACAGTCTCTCACCATTCCCAATTTAAATGCAAATTTTTTTGAAAAATCTCAATCATCATTATCACCTTCGGCAAACAACGTGCCAGAAGTTCGTTTTTTTGCTGGTGACTGGAGTGAAGTCGATAAACTGCTCCTTCAAATTGGTACAGATGCAAAACACAATGAAGTTTCTTCCGGTTATGATTTTATTCTCATGGCAGAAACAGTTTACTCAATCAACAGTCTTCAAAGTCTCTACAATCTTATCAAGAAGGTATTGTTTCGACAATTGGTGCATTTATCTGTCTATATGTAATCTGAACATCTTTGATGATAAAAATATCGGTTTCTTATATAATAGTGTTTGATACATCCGCATGGAGTTGTATACATGGCTGCAAAAAAGCATTACTTTGGAGTCGGTGGAGGATCTCGGAGATTTCTGTCTGTGGTGGAAAAAGATGGTTAGTTAGCATCGATATCATCATGGTAGTCAGAATCGCGATCCTACTCGTATTTTACACTGACAACTCTTTATATGCAGGTGTAATGACTAGTAAATTGGTTGCTGAAATTACAGATGGTTCATCGAATGTGCGAGAAGTATGGAAGCTTACATTCAAGTAGTGCTGGTGTTTTTGGTGTGAAGGGTGATGGTTGGTACTTTCAATGGTGGATCATTAATGTGTTGTAAATTAAACGAAGTTGGATATCTATAAGGAACAAAAGTTATTGTTGAATGATAAATTTAAAACATGATTAAAAATTTGGGCAAAAAATGAACTATTTTCTCTTAAGTTCTTCTACAACTTGTACTTTGATTGTTTCTTGGATGGGATGGAAAACATAGTTGTGAATGACCTTTTGATCAATGTTTGGTTGGATTTATGGGTAGGTGGAGTGACCCATTTTAAATGTTTCACAAGGTTGTTCTTAGTATCAAATGAACAACTTTTAAATGTTGCGAACTTAGGTCATTGAATTAATGAGAAGTGAGTATGGACCACAAGTGAAAACAACTTTTTGTTTAGGAGTATGTTTGAAAATTTAATGATTTTAATTAGATATGTGAACATTTTTATTCACAAGAAAAGGTCTTAATTAGATGTATTAGGGTTGATTTTCCTTCACAAGATGATCGGTAAATCATCTATCAAATTGGGAAAGGATTCTACAATTTTACTATTGAGTAAGTTTGATAAATTTTAATGCATTTTGAATATAGATATTAGATAAGAGAATTATGGATAGAGATAGAGAGAAACTTACTATAAGTAAGTGGGACATGTTGTCCCACCTTACTTTTAAAGAGACTTTGAAGAATAATCGTTTTATCCAGGAGGATCTTCTTGGAAAAAACAATAACTTTTGTCTGAGTCTAACTCTTGTAGGCACTAAGATTAACTGACTTTGGATTTTGGTAAGTGTGGTATTCAGTTGTTAACTAGCTTTGTTCTGGAGTTTGTAACGTAACATGATGTTTCTTTTTTTATTTTTAGTCTTTTAATCCTTTGGAGGCGTGGCTCCCAACTAAAGCATCATTTTGTTAAGGAGGGGAATTTTGAAAAATTGGTTAGTTAAATAAAGCTTTTCTCTTAAAAACGGCTTTTAAGAAAATCCTAGAATTATTTTACTTTCTATAATTGGGTTGTGGATCACTCTCTTTACCTATATATATATATATATATATATAAAATTGTCCTCCAGTTCTGTTTGTACCTCTAGTTTTGTTCTAATGTAGACTATATTTACTGGTCGGGTGGAGTTTATGAGTTTTTATTTTAATATTATTTTTTATGGAAAATTTGCAAATATATATTTAAAAAGTTATATTTTATAAGTGGTTAAAATATAGTCAATGTTCATATTGACATTAAAAAAAGATGTTAAGTGAATTGAAGTATTGTTTGATTTTGACGAATAAATCAGATTGTTATCGGTTCATTCGAGTTAAGTGTTATGTATCTGTTTGTATGCGATTAAATGAAGATTGATTTTTAGTTGAAAACGTAGCATCCTATTTATGTTGAACTCTGATTTTCTTATTATCTGCCGGGTAGAAATGAGGTGTTACATTAGTGGTATCAGAGCAGGTCGGTCGGTCCGACCAAGTTGTCTAATGTTGTTTATTCCTTGGTGCACGACAAATGTGTGAAACACTGTCCGTACTTATTTGCCTTAATTGCAGGAAGTTAGTTGAAGATAAGTGGGGGAGAAGCTTTACTTCTGGGATATGTTCAATTGAAAGGTGCTGGTTCGGTGTGCTGCAGACGACGACAATGCAAAAATTGTTGGAGTCTTGTTGTTCCCGAATTTGAAGGTGACTTGGATTCAAGGTCTTGTTGTTAGTCGAGTTAGAGCGCCTTGAGAGAAATTGATCAGACATTGTTGGTGCTTACTTCTCAAAGAATGAAGAGTGATGTAATATTTGTTGATTTACGAAGCAAGTATAAGATGTCGATGTTTGAACAATGATGGAGTAATAAAGTTGTTGTAACTTTTGTGTTGGATTCACATAAGTGATTGTCGGAAGTAGTTGACGATGATAAGTAGTTGTGAATCGTGAGTCTGAGTCGAAACTTGAAGAAGTGAGTAGCGTTGCGAAAAGAATTGTTGCCCTGGTGTTTTAGAACCTGAACTTTGGCGAAGGAATGCATCTCTGGAGTTATAAGAAGTTTGGGAGCACGAGATATGTTAAGAGTTGTTTGGAATATGTCTAAGTTGAAGACAAATGAGTTTCAGAGTGGAATTTCCGTAAGCAAATTGCACGAAACTGCAGAATTGTTGTGGGACTTCGAAAATTCATAACTAGAGTTCCGGGCATCCGATTTGAGTTTCGTTTGAATTATTGGAAAGCTAACGAAATGAGATTCATTTTAAAAATGGTTTCAGTAGCTGTAATAGATTCATTTATCACGTGGTAATATTGGAAGTAACTACAGTTTGTTGTTAAGTTTGTCTTTGGGACTAGACTTGTTCTTCAGTGTTGTACGGGACGTCAGCGTCCGAGTTGGGCGAATTAAAGGAGCAATTGGAAGATTTATTTAAAGTAATTTGTGAAATCAAATGTATCATTTGGAAAGTTTTGGGGTTATTAATTAGAACGAAAGACGATAGTGCAAAGTTGTGTGGAATTTACGATGTCGAAAAGGAGGAAGATTTATGCTAATTTGTCAGGATGTATGTTATAGTTTTGGAAGAAGGGTTCTCTTGAGTAATTTTATTTCCAAGTTAAAGTGTATGTATATCCATTCAAGGTGGATGCAGTTCTAAGTTGGAGAACAACGAAGTCTGTTATAGAGGTTAGTAGCTTGTTGAGCTTAGATGATTACTATCGTAGTTGTTTGAGGTGTAGATATATATGAAATGTTAGATAAGATGATAATGTTAAGAGTGTGATTGGAATGAGTTTGAGAGGTGGAGATACATGTATTTTTGATGTTGTGAGATTCGGAAGAGGATTAAGAGTTTAAGAATGTTGTTAGAATCCTTTATATAGATAAAGACTCAAACTAGAGTGGAAGGGTTTGTAATGTATTTATATGCCAACAGATCTCAAGTTAGAAAATGATTGATCATCGTGGGATGGTAGGTGAATGAGGATTAGACATGTTGTGTTTTAGAAAACTTGAATACGAGTTTTAAGGAAACGCTATTATAGTTTAGTACGACGATTCATACTCCCTTATGGTTGTCGAATACTAATTGACAAATTAAGGAATTGATCACCCTCAATCCATTGTTAATAGTAGACGAGATCATGTTGGATGTTATAGATTTGTCTTGCTATCTTAATGGTGTGAAAAAGTGTAGGTGTTATATCAGGAGGTAGTCGCTCACCAGTTTGTATGAAGTAGTAGGGGAATTGCTAGGAAAGAGTTGTGACGTATTAAATAATTCAGAGTAGCGGATTGATATGCGAGCTAACATCGTAAAGTGAAAGATTGAGAATATCAAGTGAACAATGGTTTTATGGTGGATGTTGAGGAAAGTCTGAAACTGGAATGAGACTTGTAAATTGTATAGTTGGCAGAAACTTTAATGAGGATGGTGACTTAAGATGGATTATCAGAGTTGTGCAGCTGAAGCGTATGTGGCGTAGTTGCTATGAGTATGCGACTCTACATGCTTGATTTGGTAGATTGGGGATGTAGGTATGATGTGTCAAGGTGTTGTGATACCTTGAAGATATTTGCTGATTTATGAGGATATTAATGTGGTTGTTAGTTGATGGTAGGTTGTGTGTATATCTGTTGAGTTATACTGTTAAGTTGACGTTATAATGATTTTGTTCCCGTTGCCGTGATATTGGGGTTGGTTACCATAAAGGGTGAATAATACTCCATAATATGACGAAGTTGACTATGCTGGCTATGTTGATGTCACTATAAGGGTGATACGACGATATGAATAGAGTTGTGCTAATTGACACATATATATATATATATATATATATATATATATATATATATATATATATATATATATATATATATATATATATATATATATATATATATATATATATATATATATATATATATATATATATATATATATATATGAGAATGAAATTGTGTGTGTGTTTTGGTGTTGAAGATGTTGTTAAGATGATAATGTGACGTTGTATATCCAAGTATAAGTGTGTTATTACTTTAAAATATAGATATGTCAAGATATTGTCAAAGCGGTTGATAAGTTGTTAACGATTATATCGCGGAGATGTTAAATGATTAACATGTGTGTATTAGATTTAAATCATGTTGAGTTATTGTTATGTCAATAAAATAGTGTTCGAAGTGTTGTCAGACGCGACTTAGGGATCAGAGAATGAAATACGAAATTCACGTTAAGAGTGGTAGTATAGAGTAGATTTTCGAGGACAAAAATATTCTAAGTGGGGGAGAGTTGTAACCCCCGTTAATTTAATTAATTATTTAATTAAATTATTTTAGATTATTTGTTGAAGTTGTGAGATGTGTGGATTGTTGGTATAAATTGTTAGATTATTATTAATTAATTAAGTAGTTGATTAATAATAATAATAATGTTGGAATTAATAGAATAATATAAGATTAAGTTGTTGGGCCTATTTTATATGGTGGTATATTGTATTAAGGGGGTGTGAGAATTAAGCCCAAGAGAAATAATTCTATTATTATTGAGTTTGGTTATAATAATAGAAATTAGATGTGACAGTAAGGAGAATAGGTTTTGCTAAGAGGAAGAAGAATAAGGGTTGGAAGAGAGAAAGAGAACATGAAAGTTGCAGAAAAGAAGGAAAAGAGCAAAACAAAATTCAATCGGAAAAATTATAGAGCAACCTTCAATCCAAGGTAAGGGTGGGGTTCTTACTCTATAATAGGGTTTATGATGAGTAGTATGTGGGATTGGATTTGAAAAGTTGTTTTGTTTATGATTGAATATATATATATATATATATATATATATATATATATATATATATATATATATATATATATATATATATATATATATATATATATATATATATATATATATATATATATATATATATATATATATATATATATATATATATATATATTGTTGGTTGATGAGGATTAATGATTTAGAGATGAAGAATGATGCCCTAATGCTGTATA